GCCTTAGCCGCTTGAGCCACAGGCGCCGAGCCTATAAATTTTACCATTATAAAATTCCATAGTATTATTTAAAACAAGCCCCCCCAAAGGAAATAAAAATGCAATGCATTTTATGATGGCATTATGCCTTCTCCTAAGCATATATACTTACCATTTTTGTCTTTCAGCAATTTATTGATGATGTTACTAAGATCAGCAATTTCAGAGGCAGCAGGGATTGAGAAGGGAACATCATCTATCGCATATCTATAAAAAGGAAATGATGTGACTATCAAGTCTAGAGATACTTTAACAAATGCATATTTATTCATTCAGTAAAATTTTTTTTTAGGTACCTACTATATGCCAGACATTTTTCTGCATGGAGTAAACAAGTTCTCAGAAGAAGTTAGTCTGGTAATCAAATACAATGAAGCTATATATCCTAAGTGATATGTATAGACAACAAAAGAGCAATATTTCAATCAAAGAAAAGGAGAGCAGAGGAGCAGGGTCTGAAAGGATACATTAAAAAAATGATTCTTATGTTATATCTAGAAAAGTGAGTTTTTGCCAGGTGAGGGAGGGGAAAGCAGAGAGGAGTATAGGAATGTGGAGAAAATATCAAAATAGCTAGGAATTATTAAACTGCTCACCTAGTCTATTCCAGAAAGTATAATTTTGCTTAGACAGCTACCAATGATGAGGCTAAGAGATGTACATAGGGTGCTTTATATATTGTGTGAAGTACATAATGCATGAAATAGATTTTACTTTATTTTGTAGACAGTGAACTACTATAGCAGTCCAAGTTAGAAATAACATCATCAGAATTTTGTTTAATTAGATCTTTCTGACTACCCAGAAAAGACTCGGTTAAGACAATACATCATCACAAAAGGCAGATTAGGAAATGCTTTAAGAGAAAAATATAAGAAGATAATTTGCAAATCATATATATGATAAGGAACTTGTATCTATAATATATTAAGAATGCTTATGACTCAATAATAAAAAGAAAATTTAAAAAATGGGCAAAGGAGGCAGCACCCATAGCTCAGTGGGTAGGGTGGGTTTGAGCCCAGCCTGGGTCAGCTAAGACAACAATGACAACTGCAACAACAAAAAAATGAATAGCTGGGCGTTGTGGCAGGTGCCTGTAAGTCCCAGCTACTTGGGAGGCTGAGACAAGACATTTACTTGGGCCCAAGAGTTTGAGGTTGCTGTGAGCTGTGATGCCACAGCACTCTACCCATGACAACATAGTGAGACTCTGTCTCCATAAAAAAAGGGGGGGGGGCAAAGGATTTAAATAGACAACTCTCCCGAGAAGATAAAGAAATGGCCAATAGACACATGAAAAGATGATTACCATTAGTCATCAGGGAAAAGCAAATCAAAACACAATGAAGGCCAGGGGCAGTGGCTTAGACCTATAATTCTAGCAGGCTGAGACAGGTAGATTGCTTGAGCTTATGAGTTAGAGACCAGCCTGAGCAAGAGTGAGACCTTCTCTCTACTAGAAATAGAAAAACTAGCCAGGTGTGGTCGTGCATGCCTGTAGTGCTAGCTACTCAGGAAGCTGAGGCGAGAAGATTGCTTGAGTCCAAGAGTTTGAGGTTGCTGTGAGCAAAGACAGCACGGCATTCTACCCAGGGCAACAGGGTAAAACTGTCTCCAAACAAAAAAAAAAAAAAAAGAAGAAAGAAAGACACAATGAAATATCACTTTACACCCTCTAAGATGGTTATAATAAAAAAGATCATAACAAGTGTTGCTGAAAGTATGGAGAAACTGGAACCCACATGTGTTGCTGGTGGTCATGTAAAATGGTGCAGTAGCTTTGGAAAACAGTTTGGTAGTTACTCAAAAAGTAAAATGTGGGGCTCAGGGCCCATAGGTCAGTGGTTAGGGTGCCAGCCACATACACCAGGGCTGGTGGGTTTGAACCTGGCCCAGGTCTGCTAAACAACAACTGCAACAAAAAAACAGCCAGGTGTTGTGGCGAGCACCTGTAGTCCCAGCTATTCAGGAGGCTGACGCAAGAGAATCGCTTAAGCCCAAGAGTTTGAGGTTGCTGTGAGGTATACTGCCACAGCACTCTACCAAGGGTAATACAATGAGACTGTCTCAAAAAAACAAAAATAGTAAAACCATCTGGATGGTCAGATGGAATTAACCATCTGACCCATGAACTCCTCTTTTAAGTATATATGATGGAGAAATAAAAACATAAATGAACCATTAAAATATCATAGTAAGTGAAGGAAGCCAATCACAAAAGACAACAGATTACATAATTCCTTTTATACAAAATGTCCACAAGAGGCAAATCTACAGAGACAGAAAGTAGATCAGTGGTTGCGTAGGGCTGGGAGTGTTAAAGGGATTGAGTGATAATAGTTAAAAGGAGAAATGTTCTAATATTGACTGTGGTGAGGACTGCACAACTCTGCAAATTTGTCCTGCTGGTCCTCAAACTATACTTTGAATAATAAGAAGATAGCTATATATTTACCATCCCCTCCTCAAAGCAGTTATTTAGGTCCTGCAAAAAATAACCAAACCTAGAAATTAAAATGTTTGCGTCTTCCCTTACTAAATATTTTGGACAGTAAAATGTGGGGGAGATGAGGAATTACCATAATTTTCTGTCACACATAAATACATATGTATACATGAATTACATATATAGATTTATGCATAATACTACTTCTAACCCTCACTTTACTGACCAAAACATGCTAAGTAAAAGCAGTAACAAGAACTGTAATGTCTAGGTTTTGTTATTTTTTGAAGGACCTAAATACATACACCCTCCCTCTTTATCTATTCATTTCAGGGGTTAAAATACAGTGGTCTATTATCTCTTAAATTTAATGTGAATCAACAATTATCTCAAAAACTTCAACTAAAAATATAGTGCTTATGCTAGTGCATTACCACATTCCTTGAGATGTAAGTGTATACCTGTACTCATTTGCATTGACTTAGGAGCCAAGTGTAGTGGCTCATGCTGTAATCCCAGAACTTTGAAGAGACTGGGCAAACACAAAATTAACACTGCAATATATACCACAAGGCAGTATATAATTAGGTTTCAAATAAGGGCTACAGACCTTGGGGACATTAATAAAAATGGTTTTTAATATGGATATGTGTATATACTATATAACTGGCATATGTTTAGGTTTACATACAAATGACTTATTTATATATACATGATAAATCATAGTGCATTTATATTTATTTAACACAGTATGCATGTATACACAAAATACTCAAATAGGTACCTGAAGTGACTTCACCCTCTTAGCAAAAACCAATCCTACACCTTCATATTCAGAACTTCACTTTCTAACATGGTTTAGAAAACAATCCTCTATCACCTACTTAAAAGTGTTTTCACAAACTGAAACACCACTAGCAGAAGGCCTGCAATGCCAAGGCCACTGTCACATTACGCATATAGTGTGGTTCATACAGCATGATTCATTCGCAAACTTGAAGCCCTTCAATCCCCTCCACATCCATAATTCAGAAAATGAAGAGCTCGCAAAAATGGGCAGAAAGGCGATTTCAGAGGACGGTCAGGCTCTGAGAAACCCTTGCAAGGCCAGGATTTCAACTCGAGTGGACAACCACCTGAAGCGAGGAGTCCAGCAAAAAAAAAAAAAACAAAAAAAACAGGACTGGGGGTAGAGGGAGGAGGGCTGAGCTGTAGAGAAAGAGACAGCCAAGAATCCACAAGCAAAGAAAACGTTCTTTCTGTTGGAAAGGACTCGGGAAAGCCGAGGGCGTAACCCTAACACTCTGGGAGGCCGAGGCGGATGGATCGCTTGAGCTCACGAGTTCGAGACCAGCCTGAGCAAGACCGAGAGCTCGTCTCCAAAAAATAGCCCGGCATTGTGGTGGGCGCCTGTAGGCCCAGCTACTTTGGGAGGTTGAGGCAAGAGGATCGCTTGAGCCCAAGAATTTGAGGTTGCTGTGAGCTATGACGCTACAGCACTCTTCCGGGTGCAAGAAAGTGAGACTCTGTCTCAAGAGGGGAAAAAAAAACCCTAGGGAAGGGATAGAAGGCGAGACGCTTACTTACTTCTTATTATCAGTATAGAAGCGTGTTTGAAGCTGAGCCATGGCGGGTGGTCCGCAGAAACGTATGGGGTAGGAGTCAGAGAACGGCGCTCTTGTCTCTTAGGACTACAAAGAGGAAGCTCAAAAACTACGCTGCACAGGTAAGCGAAAAGAAGCAGTCTGAGGCCGGCCTCTGCTTTCTTTCCTTAGGTCTCCCAGGCAGAAGGTACCACGCGGCTGCTCCTCCACAGAGGCCCCGCCCACACACATCAATTACCTAGTCCGAGATTTAGGAATCAGCGATTCGGACAAACTTTAAAGGCAGTGTGCCTCTTTAATCTTTTGTAGATTTCTTTCCACTTAGGCCTGTGATGGGTTAGGAGGATAAGGAAAGATTCGACTCAAATAGGCTTTTTAAGAAGAAAAAAATTTTGAGGACGCTGTTGTGAACCCGATACGTCAAACATAGCTCCTAGATACTACAACTCCCAGAAAGTATCACTTCTCGGTCGCGGTAGCCACTGGGAATTGTAGTCTTTTGCCATGCTTCCCTAAGGATATTTTATTTGCACTAAATCTTCCTAACTCTAGTCAGATATCTATTAAACGTCCTCTGCCTTCATTGACTAAAGTTTTGCCAGGTTTATTTTCTAATGAATACTCCCAATCGAAACCTCATTCGGCCAAGATTTTTCCGGGGTTCTCCGCCTTTAGCCTCAGATTTTAGATACAGGCGAAGAGCGGAAATACGAAAAGAAAAAAGAACGAATCAGAAGGGAAACTGGCGACGGTGGCCGATAGTGGTCTGAATCTCGTGGGACTACAGCGAGCTCCCTCGGAGGGGTGCGCCTGCGCATTGTGCTGGTCTCCATGGCGGGACCTCGGAGCCAAGACGAGGTTGAGTAGACTCGTTTTGAATTTTCTCCCCTCTGCTCCGGCGGACTCCCCTCCTCGCCTTGTGGGGCTCTCGGCGGCGTCAGGAATAGGGGAGTCGGAGGTTTGGCAGAGCTGTCTGCGCCAATGGACCGGACGCTACCTCCCAGCCCCCCTCTATTCCTCCTCCTCCTCCCGTCACCTCCTGACCCACCCGGGCTCGATCAACTGCCGTCTCTCGCTCGCAGCAGCAGTTCGGCCCTGGCGGCGGCCTCCGCGTCCCGCCTCGGGGCCTCTTCGGGATCCTCCATGGCAGGGCCTACTACCTCCGGCCCGGGAGGGGGCTCGCGGGTCCCGGGGAGGCAGGCTGTAGGAGAAGGAGGAGGAGGAGGTTAAGATGTCTGGAGGAGGGTTGAGCCCGAGGACACGTCTCCGCCTAGAAGGACCCGGACCCCCTGGGTGGAGCGCCCAGCGTGTGGTCTCTTATGTTGCCCCCGCACCCCGCTTTGTTAGGGTCCTTTTCCCCCTTGTCCTCGGCCCTTTTATACTTTATGTTTAGGGGCAAGCATCCTCCCACACCTTGCCCCGTTTTTTATTTTGTTTCGTTTTGTTTTTTGTCTTCAAGTTACCCAGTGACTTCTGTCTTGTTCTCAGTGGTCCTAAGTATAGTTCAATATAGTTGTTTTTCTGAGGGAGGATGAATGGAAAGATAACTATCCAGATTTCAAAGTCATTTTTTAAGGCCCTCGGCAGAAAAGCTCCAAGAGGGGGACTTCGAGAGACTGCAGTTTAGAATCAGGCAGAACTGGATTGCAAAATTAATGGGCAGAGCGGTATGTGTGCAGGTGAAGACAACTAAAGCTTTACTTTTTTACCTTGCGTAACGAAGTAGTGCAATTTAAGTGGACGCCTAATAGTTAAATCAGTCGTAGAAAATGAGAAGAGATTTTTTAAAATGGCAGCGGAAAAAATGATTTTTATTAGAGAGCCATGACAATAAAAATAGCACTGTTTTCAATTTACTACTCTTATAGAACGAGGAGCCTGGAACCAGAAAGAATTCCTGGGTTCCAATCCTGCCTCTGCTACTTAACCTCTCTGTGCCACAGTTTGATTAACTGTGAGAGTAAAATGACACATGGGGAAAAAATAGCCACATAGGAATTACTGTATTTGAGCCATGTTCGTTATTACCATCATAATAGTTATCAATTCAAACGTAAAAGCTTTGATACTGTGAACAGATAAGGGAGAATAGCCACACGAGTGGAAGAAAAGAAATCTCTGCTGAAGTCCCAGGAAGTTGCTTGTTAGGGTCGAGCTTGCTAATAGAAGAGGTCCTCCCTTGACTCTTTGATTGATTGTAACGCAAGGATTTGCACATTAAATAAGTTGGGGCACCTGAAGCTTCACACACTTTCTTAACTGAAATCTTGCTATTGAATCCATCTGTTTTGGAAATATATCATTGGTTAAAATATCTTCTTAAAATGTGTAGCGTCAATACAATTTCCTCTTAATTTCGATTGAAAAATATAAAACCTGAATATATGCATAGTAGGACTTTTCAGTTTACAAAGTAGAAATCTTGAATCCACCAAAATATATTTTTCATTTGACCTTTAGTTGTGGAAAAATTATTTAATAAGTGTTCCAAAGTAACTAAAGACCCAGTTAGTACGTGTTTGAGTTTTTTTCAGTTGTGATTTCTGTGTCATGTCTGGTGTTAGCTCCAGGCATTATCTAGGATAGCTAACATTTTTGCTTTGAGTGTTTTTCTTGTTTAGTTAGAACATTAACTGTAAGCTTTTGGTTCTCAGTCATTTTCTACAAGATTCATTTACTATGGTATTGAGGAAGACACATTGTTATCTGGAGAACCACAGTTTGAAAAATGTATTTCTCTTTATTATACCTTTTTTTCCCCCTGTATATAATGACGTAGTGAAATATGTACAAAACTATCCTTGGGCTTTGAAATCCTAATTGTTTTTTGAGTTTTTTTCCTACTGAGCATTGAATCTGAACTTAATGCTGTCTGTGATCTTCAGAAAGTTACTTTAAGTTTCAGTTTTCTTATCTATAGAAATAAAAAGGTCTACCTCAGAGTTACTGCAAGTATTAAATGAAATAATTTGTAAAACTCTCAAAGAGCAAAGAGGTAAAAAAAAGTTTGTATGTGCAGGGCAAGAAATGAGTAGAAACCTAGATTACAGGAAAGCTTATAGAGAGGAAAAACTTTAAGAGAAAAGAGATACTGTGGATACCAGTCTTAGATTTTTTTTTCCCCTGAAAAATAAAAAGTTATGGGTGGATTGTCTGAGCTCAGGAGTTTGAGACTAGCTTGAGCAAGAGTGAGACTCCATCTCTTAAAAAAAATATCTGCACGCTGTGACAGGTGCCTGTGCTCTCAACTACTTGGGAGGCTGAGGCAAGAGGATCGCTTGAGTCCGGTTGCTGTGAGCTATGAAGCCAAGGCACTCTACCGTGGGCGAGAAAGTGAGACCCCGTCACAAAAGAAAAAAGTTAATATGCTGTTGTTTATGTATATTTGTATACATTTACATTTTTTATGTTAATTCAACACATAACTTTTAAAATTCATCTTTAAAAAAATTATCCTATCGAAATATTTGATAATCAGGAGTCTTAATTTTTGACACTACTGAGTCATAATAATTTTATGCTAACAAAAGGAACATGTCATTTACCTATTTCTGAAAGATGAGGGAAATTTTATTTTCCTAAGTACTTTTGAGCAGTATTTTTAATATGTACTTAAGATCTGACACTGATATTGAATAAATTTTAAGATTCTTTCAGGGGTGTCCAACCTACTGCCCCTGGGCCAATTATGTAAGGACTGTTTTCCTTATCTGTGGTATTCAATATTGTGAAAATTATGCTCAGCCTTTTTTTGCTCATCAGCTTCAGTTAGTGTTTGTGTATTCAATGTATGTCCCAAGACAACTCTTCTTCCAATTTATGACAGAGAAGAAAAAAGGTTGGATACTTCTGTTTGGGACATTAACCAAAGTACCTGAAATTTAAGACTAAACTTCAAGTGACTTCATCATTCAGCTACTCTGTTTTGGGATTTATCCTCGGGTTACTGGTTTTAACATAAATTTAACACATAGAAGTTTAAAAGAGAAACTCACAAGTTGGCAGGTTTTTAGAAATTACACCTGAGAAATTATGTCTAAGGCTTCAACAAACAGAATTACTGTTGAACAAGAGCCAAATAGCAGTAGCTAAGTATGATCCTTTTATAGTGATACAAGTGATACAGCCTGAATAATCTCTGCCATGCATTCATTATATATAAGGAGTAAAAAGTTCTTTATCTCTATAAATAAAAACACTGAACTAGTTTTACAGGTTCTAATTTTTACTTGTGATATATGATAAATCTAGTTTTTAAATGTTACATAAAACATTCTGGAAAGCAGTTTCTTGGTATGCCTTGGTACATTTTCTAAGGTCCAATCATTATTAACTACTAGATTCCATCTTTAATACATCTTGTCAGAATGCCTGGTGTCATAGCTCACAGCAACCTCAAACTCTTAGGCTCAAGTGATCCTCTTGGCTGAGACTCCCAAGTAACTGGAACTATAGGCAGCTATCACAATGCCTCGCTACTTTTTAGAAACAGGGCCTCACTCTTGCTCAGGCTAGTCTCAACCTTCTGAGCTCAGGCAATCCACCCACCTCGCCCTCCCAGGGTGATAGGATTACAGATGTGAACCACCTTGCCCAGCCTCATACTTCTTTTTTTTTTTTTGGCTATTTTTATCTAGTCCTAATATTTCTTGTTTAAGAAATAAGCTTGTCAATTTTAGGAATTAGGAGAGGAGAATGGGGAAGGAGCCCTTTATTTTCAAGCTTGTGGCTTCAAAAGATACCTTACTGGCAAATGTTTTCATTGAGCAAAAAAATATAATTTGCTACAGAGATGTTTGTTTCAGTGATAATTATAAAACAAAAAGTTTAAACTTTAGTTCAGATCCCTAATTATACATAAGGAAATAGGCAAAGAGAGGTTAAGTCACCCTACCCCAGCATATTGCAGTTATCCCTAAACTATCAGACCTGGTCTTTAGTTCTCTTTAACTGAATCAACTGATGATTCTACCATACCAGGCTGGTAATGGTTATTTTTAAATAAAACATGAATAAAAAAATCTAGTTGTTTTCTTTATATGTAGGAAAATAAAGTATACCTTCTCATTACAGAGAAAATGCTGCTGTGAAGACACAGTTATAGCTTTCACATAAATGAAGCTACAACTATCTTGATTTAGTGCCCCAAAAGGAAGAACTTCAGTGGACAAGAAAGGGCATTTCTGGGGGTAGTAGAATGCTTGAGGCCTGGAATTTAAACTTGAGCAACTGCCTGAAGGTAATAATTTTATGTTTAACTAATTGGAAGTAATACCTTTATTAGAAAAAGCTAACTATTATCTGTTAGGTAATATGTTAATTAAAAAGTCATATTACACATTGCATTTTTTTAAAGGTTTATTTCATATTTGTAAATATCACAGAGTGGTCTGTTGATTTCAGTCCTGAATGTTGATATTCAGTTTTCTTAACGGTCCAACTTTTTTTTTTTTTTTTTTTTTTTTT